AGTGGTAATAATAAACATTTGTCATGGTAGAGTTGATTGAAATGTATTTTTTTAAAAATGGCACCTTCATCAAAATAGCTTCCTTTAATGTAAAAAGTTTTAGTTAATAATTAGTTATATAGTTAAACGATAGTTAATAACCCGATCCGCTTTATGATGCCGATCCACGATTTTCTTCGTGAAATGTCGTGAATTTTAGATAAACCTGTCCTAGAAGCGTGTTTGGAGCATTAAGCACAAACGGTACACCGTTGTCCATTAATAACTCCAATAATATTAGCAATACGTATTAAGTTGTATTTTTAGAACTCGTATTTATATCCACAATTCAATTGAAAGTATGCCCCCTCCCCCGCTTCCAGGACACCGTACAGGATAGTATTTTTACTTATGTCACCAGAAATGTACTCTCCTCTTTCTATCAACTTACTACGAGAAAGGCCCCGCTTTACACGTAACTAGTAATCAAATGTTAACATTACGTTCTACCTGCTGGTACCATAGTCACTCCCATAGAATTACGAGCTGTTATCTTTTTAATGGCATTCCCTTATCAAAACCAGATTATATGAATTCACAAATTGAAACCCATTGCAAAATGTCCTGCTGCTCGACGATTACGATACGGCATCAGAGAATGTGGTTTGTAACCTTATTAGTCAACTACTCAGCCCCACCATGCACAAAAAAAGCACACAAACCTCTTATCGCACAAACATAGACACTTTGGCCTTTTATCACATCCTGCACATTGGATCTTAAAGAAGAAGAAGAAAAATTCGTTTGCGACACTATCATCGCGCCGCTTCTGCAAATATGCATTGATTACAAATTGCTCACGGTTTGTATCGTTGGCTATCGATATCGCCCATATTACCCCCGGTTTAGATTCAAGACAAAAAGATACATGCGTTCAATCATTGTTCGACGCTTTGTCACAGTTCGATCCGACCTCCTGGAATTTACCCCGGAGGAGAATCTTTTTATCCTCAACCAAAAGGATGAATAGAAACTGGAACGAGCTGTAAACGTGCGGCTTGGCGACTCGCTCGTTCCGCTTACAAATTTTAGCCTCCATCTCGTCTCTTCTATGCTTTGTTTTTTTGGGACTAAACTAGTCCTTTGTAGTTTCTGAGGCGGCCTACGATGCCTGTTAAATATTCTTGTAAAAGTCGTTTCGCCAGCAACAGCAGCAACACATGGCAGATCTTTGTTTTCGAGTTCGATCGGCATAGCCTTCTCATTGGCGGCGGCGACGACTTCATTCGACGATGATTCTAGAAAAATCAGGGTTTGGCTTAAGAACTCCTTCGGGCCCAGCTGCTATTTCCTGCCTTCTGTCAGCTGAAAGGCGCTGTACCATTGCTCTCGTGACTGTTATTCGCGGACCTTCTACAATGATTTCCCGCTCCGGTGCAACACCGGGAAACTCAATACGAACGGTCGCCTCGTTCGTTCCCCGATCTTCGTAACTTCTTTGGCACTTCTTTCTTTCTTTCTTTTTTTTTTTTTTTTTTTTTTTTTTTTTTGTTCTTCTAGCATTGGTAAAGGCAGACAGAGACAAACGTTCAGAATGGCGTCTATAAAAAGCTGTACGTTTGTACCTGCAAACAAAGAAAGGGTGTTGTGGAATAATGTACACAAACGCTGAGATCCGCTAAGTAAACCGATTTGTACCATTGGATTGGCTACAAGCAAGCATCTTTTTTCTCGGCCAAGCATAGATAGGGATCGGGCGTTACCAGAGCAGCCAACAAACGGAAGATAGTTTGTCTTGGGAGTAAGAAAATCCAAAGTATTCGCGACAGAAGGGAATTTAAATCTAGAAATCAGAATATCGCAATATCCATAGGCAATGAGTGAACGAAATACTCGTTGCCAGAATGACAAAAACGAGTAGCTAAAAAGAAGTTCTCCTATGTTGAAACTTGTTTGAGGGTCTTTGCAAGAATAAAACAAACGACTTCCTAACGTTTTTTTCTATGTGGCTAAGCTTCCCTACCTGGTATCATCAAGAAAAAACGAACGATGATGGAACCTACTTCGGAACCTACTTTTACATTGGACACGTTATTTTGTATCATGGAATAAGTATTTTACGATTGGCCGTTTTCACATTTATGCATGTAAAATATCGAAGGTTTTTACACATCGGATGCTTTACATGGCAAAACCACCGATATTTTTGCATAAACCTAAAACGATTACGGCATAAAGCTCCATTATATAAATACAATATACTTCATAAATGTACAAAGTGGTGAATGAACAAATGCTACGCGTCAATGGCGTGTTAAAATGACAGGATTGGCTGGCAACATTTTCGATTGACCTACAGGATCGTGCGTTCAAATTGGAAAGAACTTTAGCGGGCTGTTTGTCTTAACGGGCGCGCATCTCTCCGCTACTTCTGATATTAAGAGAAAAAAAAAAACAGTCAGTTCCTCACAGAGTGAAACAGCAAGCTCGTTGTAAGGAAAAATAGTGCGAAATTTCCGGAGTTTGAGCGAATGTCAGCTATCCTAAGCGAAGCGTCAGCAAAACTAAAAACGTTTTTTTACGCGAAATCAACGGTCTACGTTAGTCACTGCTTTCGTGCGACTTGTAAAAGAAATTTGAAGCACATTTCAATCGGAGAATCCTCAATAGAATTCAGATGTGAAGAGTTGAAAAATATGTTAAACAGGCTTAACAAGCCGTTTTCGATACTCCTGTCTATTTTATACAAGAATTATATTTTACATAAATCGTGTGCAGCGTATACGAGTGAAATTTCGGCGAGACTATAACTGCCAATGTTGCTTGACGCTCTGCTCTTGCTAAAAGTTGTTCGTTATACTAAAAAATGAATATATGTTACTTTAAATCAGTATGACCGCCAGAAGCGATACTTCTAACATATACGGAAACAGTTTGTTGAAATATATGTTTTTTTTCCCCAAGTCCAATCGTAGAAACACATAGAACATAAAAAAAAAAACACATAGAAAAAAAAATTTTAGTTGAAACGCGCTACCCGAACAGAGTCAATCTGTGTCTCGCTAATATTATTCCTAAGATTTTCTAACAAAACAACATTATTGCTGTACGTTAGATATGGAAAGTGTGCAGGAACTCAAATAATCATGAAGTGTTCCCATATCGTCATCGCTTAATGATTTGTTTAGAGAAAAACACATGGGCTCTTGTCCCTGTGACGTAGCATGTTCCTAGGAGGCGGCTAATAGATCAGAATGAGAGACACGCCATCTTTCTTTAACATTGCACATCACGCTTTGCACATTATCGTCTGTATGCTGCACGGTGGCCTAAGTGGGGCTACTATGACGAAAGTTCTAGTCAGCTAAATCTTTGTCAGTGATGTAAATCAAGTCTGTCCGTACCTATTTTCATTTAGCACTATAACAGGCTGGGTTCAGATTTAAGTCTGGAGCACATAGAAAAGACGGTTTGTACAGACATGAATTACAATTACAAGATCATATAATCATTTCATTATTACTGATTATGACTCAGAACAGCATTTCACAAGTGACGAGCTCGTGTTGATGTGGTTTCATAAAACAAAAAGAATGTTTGAAAAAAACCAAAGGGAATGAGAACAGAAAATAGATTTCCCTCTGGGAGGACGTATAGTTTTACCCATTAGAAACTTCAACCTCGCCTGTTTCGTTCGACCCAAATGGAACATTTAAAAATAGTGGAAAATGAAAAAGATTAAAATTATCATGAGACGATGCATAAAATATAGCGTATAATTGAATATGTTGGAGGGATTCAGTACACGGCAGGTATGATACGTCTGGTTTGGTATTTTGGATCGCCTTTAAAGGTTGCTCGTTTGTGCAGCACAAACCTTTCGCTAACGTTAGCATATTGTAACCATGGCACTTCACAGGTCTGCTGAAAAAAAAACCCAGTCTAGTACGACCCGTCTAAAGTAATGCCAAACACTTAAGTCCATAATTTCTCGTTACCTTAACTTCAATATTTAATAATATAATTACATTTCAGAAACTTAAAAGAAATATAAGAAAAATTAAAGGATAATAGTCAAGAAAGATTTTAAGTGCAAATATATATTATTTTTTCATTTTTCATTTCATAAAGATTTGTATGAAGTAACATGTGTAACATACAGCGTTAAATACCTCTGTGATTATACTTACTCTACTGTGCAAAAATATGCTCCTGCTAATATAATTATCAAGATAGATAATATGTGGGAGAAGTTTATTGCATTTATAGGCCTAGATAAAAACTTGAATGTGTGGTTCGACAAGGTGCTACATTACCTCAGTGCTGAGCCTTTAATTGCATTCACATCTGGCAGGCCATCTTTAGTATAACAAGAAACCGAGATTTTATGTCAACACGCGATATTTTTAGGATTATAGCTATTAGCTCAATGTATTTGAATGCCGACCTGCTGGTAGCCTGCATAGAATGTGTATCATATAAAAAATAGTATACCTATCAACAGCAAATCTGTTTAGATGGGTCAGCGGACTGATAGATACCTTCCGATCATTTTCAGGAAAAATAAATTCTAATTTTTTTAAGCAAAACTAAATAAAATAATGTGATGCTTTCAGCAGACGCTGATCATTTCTTAATACCTCTATTAGATAATCACGTTTTCAACCACATAGAATAGTACCTAATTCTGAAAGTTCAAATAGACTAGGTGATACTATGAGTGAACTTCATGAATTTAAGTTGTAGCGATGCTAATATGTAGGCCAATATTAGCAGCTCAGCATGTTCCATTGTTAATGGCGTAATACCAGTAAAGAGCACATTCGAAGGGAGTCTTACATTTATATCATAATATTAATGGAAGTGCTTGTTTTTGGCAGACGTTCGATTTCTTCCTCTCCCGTAAATAAGGTAATATAATTTCAGGGTTAGGCGCTGAACTTCTACGTGGACCTTGTCCTCAACCATATCAACATTCAGACCATCTAGGACAGCTAACGAGATATCGTGTTCAGACTTACCATAGGGTTTGTCGTTGTCGGCTGGCGCTTGATTAATAATGTTTCTGAAAGCGCGGGTGCTTTGTGATAAAACTACCGGTGTATTTCCAGGTATAATAGACCCGACAGGGCCGCTGATTGAAGGGCCTGCGGCGGCGACGCTGTCTACGTTCACTGGCATCCACTTATCACTGCCGTTAGAAACGGCTCCTGTAGGACTAACACATAGTAATATTGACAGAAACAATACTATAACCGATGTCCAGCACGGAAGTAATGGAGAAGAAAAATAAAAGTTTTCGAAAAGACGATAGCTTACATCTGCTTTTGTACTACCCAAAATGATTGTCCAAATTCGTGGTAGAAGTCTTGAAACGGAAGGCCCAATACATTCTAATTTACGAAATAAATTTCCGGACCAATCTGCATAGGCATCGATGTTTTTAGTTGCCATTAAATATGGATTCGTATGGCGAAGGCCGCAAAGTCTTAACTGGTAAAAGGGCCACTTTACCGCAGGTATTATTATTTTGCTAGGGTATTTCCAAATGGCAGGTTGTCCGGTGGTAAGGGCGTTTTCTCTTGCATAGCTATGCTGATGCTGGCAGCTTTGGCAAGAAACCCTAGCTTTTTGTTGAACGCATATTTTCTTTCGATCAAACCAATATTTAGCTGTCTTTATGCTAGACTGAGTATTTTTGTGAACGTCAGCAGTAAACACATAGTTTCTTTGAAAATTTCGGCAAGCCGGTCGTGGAAAGCCCTTCGTCGGCGAGGATTGAGGTATGCATCGATAACAGCAGAATGTGCCGACAGGTATGATTTCGGCGGTATTGTCTTGTGAGTGAGGTAATGAAGTTATGCGATGTTCCACTTCAATGGCTTTACACTGAGTACCAGACGAAACGCCAACAGTTACAGCTAGCCTAGTTTGCAATTGATTTGCGAGACGACCTCTCGTTACCATGACGGGCCCATTGTTTACCTCTTCTAAAAGATCAGAAATATTGCGCATAATTCCATCGGCAAGAATCTCAGGAACCATTGTTTTCAGGCAACAACTTCACTTGATTACTCTTCCGTTGAGGTAAAGGTCTGCTCGCTATATCTTCCATATAAAGGTATCCGGGTACACACAACACCCGATCGGCGTTTTTCGAATTGCATTGACGTCGTCTACTATTTTCAGCTGGATCCTTCCTCTCAATTCAGTACGACATCGTAATCATCGTTGGGGAAATCTGCACACTTGAGATGCGCTAATGCATCTTTTCTCAGCAGAAAAAAATGACTGCTAGAATAACGACGACCACTCTAACGATACGCACCAGCGATACGTACTATCGGGATGAGATTTTACGTAAAGTGATCAATATTCCTTCATTAAAAAAAAAAAAAAAACAAAAGTAAAAACTCTTCGTAATCCATTTGCTTTATTCAGCAAACAAGAACACTGAACGCTTTCGTGCGTCGTTCACTTCAGTACTTTTGTTTAAATTTGAAAACTTTGATCGTTCGCTTCAACTATGTCCTCGTTGCAAGTTTTCACTTTATACAGGCTGAAGAAGCACCTTGCTTTCTATACACTTAGTTCAAAAATCATACATGATTTTTGCCATACTGTTATATATATCAGGTTTACACATTCTATCAGTTTGGAAGCGCTTTCTTTAAAAGTGCAGTCGAAAGCCAAAATTAACCCCCGTTTATCAAAAACGTAATTATCTTTTAGAAAAATTTAGATATTTGCCTTTAAAACTTTAACCTGACGCTATGCGGCTCGTTGTGTATCGCCACGGCAAAGGGGTAGGCGGAAAAGACGTTCTGAACGAAAAAGTTTTTACAAAACGGTCTGCCTGTTTGTATGCGGAAGCCCGTGGCGGAGCACGGCACTATGTTTGCCACTTTAGCACACACGCACGCACTCTTCCACTAAGGGTTCACTCTCCGGACGCACAAAGATTTCCCACCCGCTTTCTCCACGAGCACTGAAACTGTGATAGTTTCACGCCGGGCGCGCAGCCAGAGGGCGCTCTAATGGATCTTCAACAGCGCCCTCACCTCAGGTGGCGACGGCGGGGCCTACCAGGACAGTTGAGGCCTGGCCTCTCCAGATGCTGAGTTGTTCTCAGTCAAAGCATTCGGCCACCGTAGAATAGGCGCTCAGTGAAAAGAACGAGTGATTGAAGTAACGCAGCTGCAGAAAAGTATATGACTTAGATAGAGGCTGGCATAGAATCAGAGCAACGCTTCCGCTGGACCCCTTTCGAAATACAGAAAGTCAAAAACGTAGGCCCATAAAGCAGATACGAGGGCTAGTGTAAGGAAACTTCCCAACTATTGAAAATTCGTAATTTTTTTTTTGTCAGAATCATACGATCCACTTGATTCTAATGAACTAAAGCGATAGTTTGTGCAAATATAAAACTATAAATAGCTTTTGGGAAAACCGCCAGAGAGTTTAACAGTCATCGGTTCATTATTATTATTTCCCAAAAACTAAAAAAAACGCGCATATAAATATCTTATTCTAATCAGTGGATGTTTGTTTGCCCGGCAACAACTTTTGATAGGGTTTATGTAGATGAAGCACATTATGTACTTGTCGTGAGCTTAGAGTCGTGTAAATAACTCCGTTGCCTTCGTTAAAATTTTGGCTTATCCAGGTCGTAAGTCGGTACTACAGGTCGCAGAGTAGTTTTCAGATGTATCGCTGATTGTGAGTGCAATATCGACGCTTCTTTTGGGAGCATGTATAGTGCATTAAAGCCATTTGTAGAGATCGCTTGTCTTGAGACAAGATAGCCATAGCTGTCCCCAAAGCCGCTATATGGAGTACCCAGTTTTTATCGATCATATCGTTTCATCGCAGGTTAAGCTGTATTTAGGGCAATAAGAATTAAGTTATGATTTTTTCGCTATGATCTGCATTATGAAATCAATACTACGGGTTATTTTGTATCACAGTCTCGCATCTTGCTACGGTTGATCGGCATTCACGTGCCCGTTGTACAGACACGCGAACGAGTCACAGCTTGAGAAATGTTACTGCCTACAGTTAGCTGGTCTTTTGTGGTAGAGTCACGTGGAAATGTTTGTTATGTACCAGTAGACGATTTTTGTTTGTATTTCTTCACTTGGAGGAATCTGAGCATCGGCAATCCTGCAGCGCTCGGGAACTTGACCGCGATAGCTATCGCATCGAAGGGAGTGCGGGATTTTTGTGCGTTTGCGCAGTGGTTAGTATTGGCCGGACAGCAAAAATGAGCGTCAGTAATCAACTGGTAAAAGAAGCTCTACGCCGGATAGCAGGATGACCTGCTTAGGTGCCAAGTACATTCCCATAACATGTAATTTGTCCATAAAAAACGGGTACTTTTCCTTCTCGAATAATAATAGCCGATATAAAGCAAGCATGTGTGTGTTTCCTTCTTGCTCACACGCTGCTACACGCCTTTCGGTTTTCAGCTTCGGCAAGATCATCGTGTGTGTGATTAATGATGACGCAGCTCCATTGAATGCCAGACATACGAATGAGAGTCTTGTAACATCTCTTGCACGCTTTGAGAGAAGTGGTAACGCCTAAACAAATCACATTTGTTCTTGAAAAGCAACCTGTCTCACTATAGTTGCTAGCTAATCCCTAAAAGTAACGCTAAAATTTTTGTGTTGTGTATCTTCACAGAAGGTGATATAGTTTGGTATACATACATTTCATAGTGTACATTTTTTGAGACTGTTAGGTCAGTCCGTATGAGCTCGTGGTAATATCAAACAGCTTTGCGTATACGATTTACGCGACTAGAGCGTTTATGGTTGAAAAGAGAACGCGTGGGATCATTCATGATGACCTTACAAATCCGGCAATATTTAGAAAACTGACTATCACAAAATTTAAAACATTCTCAACTAAAGGAAAATAACCATATAAAAACAATGCGCCTGTACAGATGTTAGTCAAGCTTCATTTCTGAACTTTTAGGGAAATGGGACTCATTCGCTAAGCATGGTTTTTTTCTCAGGGATTTTGCCTAGTACCGAGTAAGTGTCTCATAAATGACGCGGACGATTTCGGAGATAGCCGAAGAGGCATGTTTTAGCTTGCATCAAAGAGGACACACTTTGGCAGCTCGAGCATTTAGGGAACGACGAATCGAAGTAGTATATAAAAAACATTCGTCATAGGCCGTTCAACGATGTCTAAGCGGTTTCTTACCTATAGGCTCGTTGATTGACGTACTGCACGTCTCGATTAACATACATGCAAAGAAATATACCTTATATTAATTTTTATACGTTACAACCTATAGGTAAAAAGTAACGTGGCACTTACTGCATTAGAAGCGCATGCAGGAAACGAGCAGCACCTTCAAGACCGCCGAATGACATCCTTTGGCAAGGCCTCTTCCATTGTCCATTCGTAACATGCCTGAGCTGTTCGCTACAATCCGTCGGCCAAAATGGCAAACGGCCAAATCAAGTCGATTACAACGGAGGATGAGATGCAGCCCACGAACGTAAAAAGGACACACACAACATTGAACAGCATCCGCATAACGTATGGCTGTATAGGCATTTCTACACACTACCTATTCACTCTGACACTGAATATTCGTTCTACAGGATATCCTGAAAGGACATTTGTGGTTAAATACGAAATTATTCCAGGCTCTGAAATCAAAGGGCACGATGTTCGAAAAGCACGCTCCTCCTCGTCAAAGACATCGTAGTTCCAATAAGAAGCCGGAACTCCATCAAATGGCCTAAATCGTAAGGAAAATGCCCCTTGCCGGATATTCCTGTCGATAGGTCGGGTGTCGATACGAAAACGATCTGCGTCTACGGACACTCTTTTTTTGTACTAGCAATTGAAAGTGTATATTAACTAAATCCTATTAAGCTAATATTCAAATCTGAGATGATTTGCCCCCTTGAAGCACGTCACTTTAGCAGGAGTGTAAGTGGCTACGTGGTGAGTTATTGAGAACACAATCTCGCTACGTAATAACAACGACAACCGAAATATTATCTGGCAAACTGGAAGCTAAGCACCGATGGGCTAAATTTAGTTTTCTACGGACGAAGATATATATTTCGTAGTTGTAAGTAAACTGTAAACCTAAGAACTTATATTATCCATTACCTCATTTTATGTAGCTAACAAAATCTCATTTGAATTGAATACGCTCGTTCTCGCATCCGCGCTGAAGCAATACCACGAAGTGCCTGGAAATTTCGCTTTTCTTTTTGTTATTGTTCATTTGTTGCTTTCTGCAAAGCATCCGGAGAGAAAATCATATACGATTGTTAAAAAGATATAATAACTCAGTACTATTACTTATTTTCTTACTCACTCACCAGTCGTGGGCCCTGCACAGATTTAAGCTTAAGTTTTCCATTTAACTATGACAATGCGTTCTAGAAACAAACCTATGTTAAACCTATTTCATTTTCCAGCGAGCTTTATGGATTCAACGTCCAACTTGCCATATACCGTCCACTGTCTCCGATTCAGTCTCTATAACCTATAAGAAGACAGCAATTCATTTATATAGATTATAGTACCAAGAGCAGACGACTATTGGCACTATATTTAAGACACTGATAATTAGTCGTAACGACACATGCAAGCAAATAGTAGCTTCCAACGACCCGTGTCGTCCATAATTTTCCAATTGCACCAAACTATACAAAATAATTAAAACCGTTATGTGCAAACGTCACTCACTTGAGATCATGGGCCAGTTCCAAATAGGAACTTATTCAGTGAGGTACTGGCTTCAGGGATAGATGAATCGTCTTATGCATCTTTACTTATGTATGAAATTAAATACGGCTTGTCGTGGCCGTTATCAGACGTCCTATATAGATTAGCAGTTTCGGAATGGCCAGATATCTGCGGTCAATTATAGTGCACACCCTGATTACCAGGTGGTGGTTTTTTTTTTTTCGCTCACAACGATTTAAAGCGAATTCGGCATGACTCTGTGCGGCTGTGTGCGCTAGTGCAACTTCCGGTTTGCCTGTAATTTACGTCTTCTGGTCGGTTAGCGAGAAACATCCGTACAGGGGAGTTCTGTTCGTAACGGGCACCGATACACGTTGGATCTGTACACTGGGTTGGTGGTTAGGCGTCGTTTGACGACCGGAAGGATAATTCCTTCTGATTTTTATCTCCCGTTCGGTGAACGCTTAATACACTGTGCATGTTTGCTTACCAACGTCGAACACCAATCTCTGTCTCACTCGTTTTATGAACTCTATGATTCGCTAACTCTTGGCAAGGCCGGTGCCCTACTGAGCGAAAACGTCGCAACGGTTCAGAATAATCGCCGTAATAAAACTACGGCTGGCCATGCTGCGGCTGAAACTGCCCCGAAGAACCCAATCGCAGCGACTGTTAATTAAAGTAAAACTGCATACGATTAAGTGGTAACGTATTACCTTTCGGTGTGGCTTCGCCGTTTGAACAAATCCGTGCTGTATTAGTTACCCTTACTACCAAGCTGATCTGCTCAACACTAAACGTATTTTTTTGGGCGAACGTGTGTGTATATAGATGTGGTAGTCAAAAGACGATAAAGTGTAACAGCATGCATATATGTTCTTTCAGCATAGGAATTTAGCTTACTGTCTCTGAAACACATCCGTACACAAACTTCAGAGCTTTCATTGTGGCAATTAGTTTGTTGTAGAGCGATTGTCTCTTCGTCGTTTTATTGCTTAGCTATTCGTTGGGGGACCTCCTTGCCTCGGGGAATTGAGGCAAAGTCTTGTCGCATGCAGCGTACTTCTACGACTGTTATCTTTTTCAAGCTAGGAGTGGCTGCAGCGTTATCTGCCTCAGTGAAACCGGCGGTGCTAACGCACTCCTTTAGTACATTTACCACCGGGAGTTTGACCCCCGATGTTCCGTAGCACTCCT